CAAAAGTTAAGGAAAGCAAGAGGGAGAGTGAGTGAATATAAGTTTTGGGTCCAACCTGCAACTAGACAAAGGAAGCTCTTTAGGGTTGTTTCTAATCTCAGTGGGATTTTATTAATGGCTCTACTGCTAGAAAAATGTGAAAGCCATTTATGTGGGCCAGTATGTCTTAGGGAGTGGGACTTATACATCCCCAGTGCTATGCTTAAGTTATACTAACCTTGAATGTGACCTTATTTGGGAAAAGGGTCTTTGTAGATGTAAGTACACAAAGACGGGATCAACCATTTAGGAAGAAGGCAATTTGGGTGAACAGAGGAAAGGCAAAGAAAGAAGACTTTGAGTTTGTAGAGATAGAGACGGAAGTGATACAAACGTAAGAAGCATGAGGGATCATAGGCAACCCACACATCTCTTTTGCTGTTGTTGTTTTGTTTTTCGAAACAGGATTTCTCTGTGTAGCTTTGTAGACCAGGCTGGCCTTGAAATCACAGAGATCCATCTGCCTCTTCCTCCCCAGTGCTGGGACTAAAGGCATACGCCACCACTGCCCAGCCCAACCCACATGTTTTATCAGACACTCCCAAGAGCAGGAATCAGTCTTACTATTATCTTCATTCCTTATTGCCTCCGACCTTGTGAAACAATACATTTGTTTTGTTTTAAGCTACCCAGTTTATGGCATTTTTAATGGCAACCATAGAAAATAAATACAGAGAGGCATATAGACCTCTTACCTAGACACTGGTGGAGATGGGATTTTTAAGGTGTTCCTTTCAGGCCTAAACCATGAGATTCTAACCCTGTAGGCATGTACTGAGGCTCAGGAACCTGTATTTTCACAAGTTTCCCATATGCATAGTAAATAATTCAGACACAGCTGCTTTTGTGCATTCACACAAATACCAGCCTCTTCTCTGAATTGTATCTGAATCTGCCTTCCCTGTTGACAAGGCTCCTTTAAGGGTTCCCAAAGCCGATAGTCAGAAGGTATTTAGTAGAACAGGTAAGAAGTAGGCTGGCATCAGATCTTTTGTTGTCCCCAACTTTCAAATTCTGTGACTAATTCTAATAGAGTTTATCTGCAAAATAAAAAAAATCACAAAGCCCCTAAGTTGCCAAATTTACTTCCAAAGAAAATAGTCTGTGGTAGGTAGAAAGTTGACTAAAAGGGTTAGAGTCTGGAGCAACAACAGCAACACACACACACACACACACACACACACACACACACACACACACACACACACACACACACACCACTATACCTTGTGGAGTGTCTACCTGATAAGTTATCACATTTTTTTTTACTTGAAGATTTGATTCCTATTGAAAATTTAGGTCTCCATGTGATTGCTGATACCAGAAGCCAGTAACAGTCATTTATGCTGGATCTCTGATAATTACTCTAAAGTAGTTTTAATATGGCTGAGTAGGGGGAGGAGCATGGGGGGGTGGGGTAAAGGAGGAGCAGAGGGAATTTTGCATCCAGCCTGGATCATAAGACCTTGCCTACTAGTGCAGAAAATGACGCTGCTTTCGCTCCCCAGGATTGATGGAAGTCAGCTGTGCCTCATTTTCTAGAGGGAAGGGCAGGTGGTGGTGGTGTTGGGGGCTGTGTGCAAAAGGTTCGCCTTCCAGATTCTGTGTGAAAGGGGTGCAAACGGTCTGCCCAGCTGAACTCAAGGTCTTCTAGAAGGCATGTTTTGCCCATATACCTGATGGCCTCCAGGTAAACAATTCTGGTTTTTATCTCAAAGAAAGATAGGGATCTCTAGCACTGTGGCAGCCAATTGTTATAGTTGCTCACATGTGACTTATCATGGTGACTGTCAGAATAATGGAACACAATGAAATAGTAGAAGCTCAGAGTTGGACTTGGGGCAGAGAGAACAAAACTACTGAGGAGACTTGAGGATGGAGCTAATGGCTCTGTGGGGTTTACCATACAGTATTTATTTATGATAATGGAGTATTGACAAATGAGGGATTATAGTGGTAGTGTATGACAGAAGGTCCTAGCAAAACTCAGGTCACACAAGTAACCTAGCCTAGGTTTTATATATCTGATTTTTGTATCATGAGGAATTTATTTGTATGGGCTAAGTTTTGCTTCTGCCAAGGAGAGACCACATCAACTTGTATTTTAATATAAGTTTACATGGTCCCTTCCTTCCTGACAGGCAGATCCCCCGCATTTACTAGAGCACAGGGAAAGATGAGAGAATTTAACCCACTAAGCATGGAGTCAGTCTACACTCACCACCCAGGTAGGAAATTGTCCTGTGCTCTCTTCCTCTAAACAATTAGGAGACTAAATGTGATTGATTACAAAACCTCCAAAAGTCTTGTTTGAAAGAAAGTCTTGTGATTTTCCTGGATGATATCTTTAGCTCATTCATGTCCTTCAAAAATATTTCTATATCACCCCTTTTCTTGTGTGCACTGGTTTAGTATGGAGAGGGTAAGCATGTGTGATGGTTTGAAAGAAAATGGCCCCCAAAGAGAGTAGCACTATTTGGAGGTATGGACTTGCTGAAATAGGTCTGGCCTTATTGGAAGAAGTGTGCCATTGTAAGAGTGGGCTTTGAGGTCTCCTTTGTTCAAGCTACAGTCACTGACACAGTTCACTTCCTGTTGCCTGCTGATCTAGATGTAGAACTCTCAGTTCCTATCCAGCACCATGTCTGCCTGCATGCCACCATGTCCTGCCTTGATGATAATAGACTGACCCCTGGAACTGTAAGCCAGCCCCAGTGAAATGCTTTCCTTTATAAGAGTTGCTGTGGTCATGGTGTCTCGTCACAGGAGTGGAAACCCTAACTAAGACAGCCTGGAAAGAAGTGGGCATTAGGTAGCATGAGATTGGTTTCAAATAAGGGAAAGAGCTAGTGTGGTACAAGAACTTAGAGGTTCATAGCTGAAAAAGCCTTCGGAAGCTACCCAGGGGCTTAGCTAAGCAGAATGGGACGCAGAACAAATCAATTTTGATGAGTTTTGTAAGATGGACTGAGTAGGAAACAGACTCAACTTCTTTTCTAAATCTCTTAGGCTGTTCTTTCTAGGAGCTCATCTATCTTCTATTCATTTGACCCATCTCATAATCCCTGGGCTAGGATCCTAAGATTTATAGAGGAGTAATGTGGCCTAGTGTACAGCTTTTAAAACTTTATCCACTTACAACCCCTTTTCATCCAAGAAATTTTTTCAATCCACATGTATAGGTATATAAGATACTAAATCATGAATAAGTTTAATCTGAAACAATTATTAGATCTACTCTATTAAAGATGAGACCAAATTTGCATAGCAATGAGATGAAAGTACTTGTTTATATTTATATAAAGAATTAAATCTTGACTGAATATTTGATACCTCAGGATGTAGATCATTTTCAGAGTTGAACAACGTTTTAATTTTATAATCATCAGTGCTGATGATGTTGCTATATATAGCCAGATAGTATGAAATTGTAGAAGTATGTTTCTATTTAAGACATTGTTGGATATTCTGAGCTAATCCCAAGCTAAAGTTCACCAACTGACTTTTTAATGAAATAACTCAGTGAACAGCTTTAATATTAAATATTCTACCAATCTAACCCAAGATAGACTAATTTAATACTTAACATGCTGAGGGATTATAAGAAAAATATTATTAAGAGTCTTTGTTTTCCATAATTATACCATTATGTTTCTACAATAACATAACTCTTGGTATATAAAATCACTGTAGTTCATATCAGTCAATAGCCTCCAATCCAAGCTGAGAAGTACATGTTCATCAAGATGCTGATTTGTCTCCTATATTTGACCAATTTCATTTCCGCTTCTTCACCATGTTGATAATGTACGCAAGAAGGCCCTCATTAAAGGTTTATCAGATAAGCTACCTTACCTTGAGTATCCAGCCTCTAAAATATGGCTAGCAAAACAAACCTCTGATTTATAAAGTCCATCACCTCAAACATTTTCTCCTAACAATGGGGAATAAACTAATAGGAGACATAATGGTACTAAAGGTATGGCCAGGAATAATAAGATCATTTTCCTAATTTAGAAAGGATAAGACAGCCAGACTCTACAGAATGGCTTCAGAGCTGCAAAAAGAACTGATGCAGGGAAACTAATGAGAACAAAATTTCACGTCAGTGCGGGACAGTGATTCTCAAATCTGAGCGTGCATCAGAATCCCCTCAAGGGCCTGCTAAGGCACAGCTTGTTGGGCAACATCCCAGAGCTTATGATTTAGTATCATTGTAGTGAAAATCTAAGCCTTTGCACCCTTCATAAGTTCTCAGGAAATGCTGCTGCTGCTAGTCTAGAGGCCACACGTTGAGAACATTTTATTTAGGAGAGTGATGGCAGAACAGGCAATACTAATGCCAACTGGCTTAGAGAGGAAAGACAGAGGGATGGAGCAACCACAGGGGTTGAACATGGGTGCCAGATTTGAGTGAGAAATCAAACATAGCAAGTTTCTGTGACTTAGAGACTATGAGACTCATAGAAGCAAACCTACAAAGACCCATGAGGAAAATTCAGTCACATTGCATGTACTGGGAAAATAAATGAGGTTTCTAGTTTTGTTTGCACTATGGCACTCAAGGCTAAAGTCTTCTTGTCTTGTCTGTGGAAGAAAAGCCTCCCAGGAGAAAGTGTGGGTCTGGGTTTGGTCTCTTTTGTAGAGTGTAACATTTGAGTAAAGGAAGGAAATGAGGATACAATGGGAGGTGGTAAAGAAATTGGAAAGATTTTGCATAGTCTAAACATGAAGAACATGCCTTTGCACTGTTAAATATTGAATATGTTAGAGTAACTAAGAACAAAAGACAAGCAAAGGAGTAATCCGGCAGGGACCAGGGCAGCTCTGGTGGAAGCTCCTGAGACAACTGATAACAGTTTCTAAGACACGGCTTCTCAATTCCAGACTGCTGAACCTTTCCTTGGAACTCTGATGCCCTTATGTTGTGTCTGCTTCCAGAATATTGTGAATTCTCTTACCTGCTTCTCTCCACTGGGCTTTCTGTAGCTAAGCAGAAGCTCCACAGCGCCCACCACTTCCTTGCGGATGGCATAGAGTAATGCATCGCCCACATACACACTGTGGTTCAGCAGTAGCTCCATGATCTCCAGGTTCTCGTTCTCAATGGCAATGAGCAGGGCGCTTCTGCCCAAAGGATCCATGCAGTTGATGTTGACATTGTAGTAGATCTCGGCCTCCTGCAGTGCCTGCTTCACGGTGGCATAGTCCCCCTTCTCCACAGCATTAAGGAAAGCCTTCTCTTCAGCAGAGAGTTCAGTCTCAGCCCTCACGATTTGGAGGGGAATGCGGTCTCTGTATGGTGAGTAATTGACCTTCTTGTAGTAAAGTTGGGCCATGGTTCATAGCAATTTAGAAAGCTAAGTGTGGAGAGAGAGACAGAGGAAGATGAAAGATAACTTTAGTTACCTGAAGATTTCAAATGGCCACTTATTAATCCCTTTCTAATGGGATTTCAAAATCCCAAAGCATCTGAATGACATCAATGTTTCCCTCTTGCTGAGGAGCAGAGCAGCAAAAAGTCAGGCTTTTTGTGTAGAAACCACAAGTATAGAATATCTGAAAAGGAGCTCAAATAACACATGAATTCATGAGATGTTCATGACAAAAATCTTTAGGCCTTCAATCATTCAGGATAGCCTAAGAATCTGACCACTTCACACCACTCCCCACTGACTACCACCATCATCAGCTCATTGGTCAATTGCAATTGCAGTAGCGTCCTAAATGGTTTGTTTGTTTGTTTGTTTGTTTCACTCTTGACCCTCACATACTGTGTTTTCCCCATAACCTGTAACCACTTATTAATTTTAATGTATATTTTGGGGCTAGAACACTAATTTAGCACTTAGTGGCTCTGGGATCTTGGATAAGTTACTCAAACTCTTTACCACATTTGTTCCTAAGGTTATTCATATTAATATCATTAGCAGTTATCATCTCTTGCCCACCAAGTCTCATGATAGGGAATAACTCCTACATTGAAAAGCTACTCAGATAGTTAAATGAGTTATATATTACCAAACTCCTAAGACACAGCACAGTTTACACTGTCCTTTCCTTCCCTTTCATTTCTGAAAATATCCATGGTAATAATTCTAGTCATTGGTGTTAAGTTGCTGCTCGCTTAGGGCCAGTTTCATTTGGTCTCTGGGGTCTGTAGGTCTTTTGAGATCAAATTTTCAAGCTTATATTTGCCACTGTTCCAGATGTATATATCAGACTGAAGTACTTTTTTAGGAGCTAGGAATATAGTTCAGGTAGTAGAATGCTTATCTAGCATCCACAAAACTCTATGCTGGATACATAGCTCCACATGAGCTGGATATGTGCATGTCTGTAATCCCAAAACTCAGAGGGTAGAGGAAGGAGAATCAGAAGTTCAGGGTCATCCTTGGCCACATAGTGAGTTCAAGGCTGGCCTAGGATACATGAGACCGTGTATTTAACAAAAAACAGAAAGGAATATATATATATATTATTTATATATTATATAATATATGTATATATATTATTTAGTGTTAATTACAGCTCTCTTCCTTGATAATGGTCATTGGAGAAGTATTGATTCCAATAAGCCAAAGCCATCTGCAAAAGATGAGCATGGACTCACTCCCTAAAGCCACCTATGATTTCTTTCTGCCACCACTCCAAATAGCTAACAGACTGAAGAATCAATTTGATTTAATCCCGACAAATGAATGGTCTGTTTTGTTTGTGCCAGATCTAAGGTCAGATCACACTTAATAGAGCTGATTGTAAAGCAAAAACTAAATAGGTTTTTACTGAGCTCCTGCAATGTGTTTACATTTCTCTGGAAGACCAAGAAAATATAAGCACCTTTGCCTGTAACCATACAGAATGAATCACAAGGTAGAGCTCTTGCTTTGTAATTTAGAGATCAAATTCCCTCACATTTCTCATTGACTACTTGTACTGTCCTTCTAAGGTGGGAATGATGATCCTTTTCAAGGGGGAGAAAATAAGATTAGATGCATGAACTGATTGGCTGTTCTCTCCCCCAAGGTCTCCACACCACTCTGTAGTTAAGATGGCGTTATTTTAGTACTTTTCATTAAGGAGCCGTTTCAATAGTGGAAGGAAATGGAAGTGTGATAAAGAGCCCCTTGTCTCATCTTCTGGATATAAGAGAAGGTGTGGAACTTCTTCAAACATTCACCTCACTCTTTTAGGTAATTACATGCCTGCTTTGGCAAGGCGAGAAGCATATATTATATCAAGTAGCATTTGCAATTCATATCCTTGCGATCTTCTGGGAAGTTAGTATTTGAAGATGACTTTTAGCTGCCTTTTGTCCTGAACAGGATCAAATGGCAAGTTCTTTCTTTCTTTGTCCAGCTCTTAAAAGAGCAGGTGCTGTTTGGCTCCCTAGAGAAACTCTGCTATGTCTTTCACTAGTGTGCTGTCAACTTGACACAGACTCCAGTCACCTGGAGAGGATGGGAGCCTCAGTTGAGGACTGGCCTCCATCACATTGGCTTGATTGCTGGTTAATGTAAGGGGGCATGGTTCACTGTGGGTGGTGCCATCTCTAGGCAGTTGGGTCCAGGCTACATAAGAAAAATAGATGAAGCTGGGTGGTGGTGATACACACCTTTAATCCAGCACTTGGAAAGCATAGGTAGGTGGATCTCTGTCTATGAGTTCAAGGCCACCCTGGTCTACAGAGTAAGTTCCAAGACAGTCAGGGCTACACAGAGAAACCCTGTCTCAAAAAGAGAAAGAAAGAAAGAGAGAGGGGGGAAGGAAAGAAAGAAAGGAAGGAAGAAAGAAAGAAAGAGAGAGAGAGAAAGGAAGGAAGGAAATAAGAAAAAAAGAAAGAAAGAAAGAAGGAAAGAAAGAAAGCTGATCAAACCATGGGGAGCAAGCCAGTAATAAGCTTCTTCCATGGTTTCTGCTTCTGTACCTGCTTGAGTTCCTGCCCTGACTTATGGACAGTGATCAAGATGTGTAAGACAACTCAGTCTTTTCTTTTCCATATTCTTTTTAGTGGTGGTGTTTATCGCAGCAACAGGAAGAAAACTAGAGCAACTAACTGTCAAAGAATTTGGCAGTCTAAAGGAAATTGGCACTTAGAGGAAGCATTTACCACTAAACAGTGTATGGCTTTGATCATACTAACTTTAGACTACCTCTCTGCCTCTATGTTGTCTTCAGAAAGTGGCAGCAGAGAAGAGTGTGAGTCCCCAAAAGGGACTCAAGCACTATCAGGCTTCTGTTACCTACCTTAACTTACTTGATGGAAACACACTGGGCACTTGCAGTGTGCCCAGAATTCTGCTAGCTGCAGTGGGGGGGGGGGGAGATGGCAGAAAGGTTCTGCCTTCTTTCCTGCACTGCTGCCACATGTTGGACCTCCTAATCAGCCTGACTCCAAGCTTTTCCCCTCCACTTCTAGTCTGCCACTAATTTATCCTATGAAGCACAAATCTCATCTCATTCCATTTTGTTTATTTTTCATGATTTCTCAAGTGTGTGTGTGTGTGTATATGGAGGCCCAAGATTAATATCAGATGTCTCACTCTGTTGCTGTCCATCTTATCTCACTGAACCTTGAACTCACTAGTTTGACTAGATTTTCCATCAGCAAGTTCTAGAGATCCTCTTGTCTTTTCATCTGCCGAGTGCTGGGATTCTACACGTGGACTCTCATGCTCGGCTTTTTCTGATGTGGATGCCAGGGGATCTAAACCCAGGTTCCCATGCTGGTGTGGCAAGCACTTTACTTACTGAACATCTCGGCCGCTACTGCTATTCTTGTAATAGAATCAACACTCTTTAATAATGGCTGCAGCATCTTGGCCCCTGTTTCCTTTTGACCTCTTCTTAAACTATTCATCCTAACCACACGTGTTTAACCCCATGATGATTCTTTTGATTTTCTATGATGCCAGGATTTTTCCAACTCTCATCCCAAATTAATTAATTCATTTTTACCATCTCTTTCCATCTTTTAGCTCCTGCAAAAGTATCACCCCAGAGCTGCCCTTTAATCACCCCTTTTAAACTGGTCCCTTAATATTCTTCTCTCTATCGTCCTGTCTTTTTCCTCTTTAATGCTTACCAAAATTTCTTATTTGTTTTATCAGTTAATTGTTCTTTCCAAATAGCCTTAAAACTCAAGTGTAAGAATTGTACCAGGTCCGGTTTTTCTGGTTCCTACTCTGTATCTAGTGACTGGCACAACCTGGACACTAGATCGACACTCATGAGTAAATGAGCCAACCTTACATGTTATTTCCTTATCTCTTTTCACCCCATGTCAAGTTCTAGCAATATTGACTCATGTTCTGAACTTGTTCTTTTCTGACAAGTTCTTCTCATCTGGGCACCATCCTATTCTCTCCGCTTAGCCAACTTCTCCTCATGTTTCAATACCTCCTCAATCTTAAGTTCTGTTTTCTGCAAAACTTTTACCTAGTGCCTGCAGGCATTCAGCCAGTCTTCCCACTCTCTACTGGTACTTTGATCACATTTCTTCAGTGACATTGACTGCAAATTTGTCTTCCTACAACGAGCATAGCAAAACTTAGATCTCTGTATCCTCAGCACTCACACAGGTCTAGCATTCAACAGGTAGTAATTATAGGCATTTAATGGACAAACCCAATTGGGTGTTAGCAGAGTTAAGTACTAAGTAGGTGGCACTAATTTGATGCTTTATGACCCCAGCAAGGACTAGAGAAAAGGTTTCAGGGAGCAACTCTTGTGCCAATCTTCAGAGGATGAATTAAATATACAAATGCGAGGGCCATTAGCTCTGGAGAGGAAGAACACAAGTGATGAGACTGTTCATGGCTTGGCTGAGAGATTGCTGGGGAGAGCAGTGAGAGCTATTTTTCAAACTACAGCAAAATACAAGAATTAGAGGTGTAGTTCATAACCTCAGTTTTCCCAACTGAGTAAACAACCTTAAACATTCTCCACTTGCCCTCTTAAGAGACCACAATAGAAGAAAAGGCTGGGTAAGCGTTTTCCAGAGCTCTATGACCATCTTACCAAGGCACCACTGTGGGAGAAACAGAAAATACAGGCAGAAATGAAAATGAAGGAAAAGACACATTCAGTTCCCTATTGTGTGCCAGGCATTATGCCGGAAAGCTGGGGCAATAAAGATATAAAAAATTATTATAGTTTTGAATAGTTAATGTTTCCTGGGCACTGTGCCAGGTGCCGGGCCTGCACCATCACTACTACTGCTTCTAATAGTAATGAACGCAGCAAGAAGTGCCATTCATTACATTCTCACTATGTGCCAGATGCTAGGTATGTGGGTTAAAATCATAAAGGAAGATGACGCTAGACTCACGATAACTTGAGGCTTGAAGCAAGCATAATT